CAACCTACAATTTCAAGATACTCATGCTAGAACAAATGACTGAACTAAGCACCAGGCTGCAAGTTCAATCTCAGCCTGGCAAAGGCGGAGGTTTGGAAGAGCACCTCTGACTGTCTCGGATCTACCTCAATCCTCCACTTTTGACCCAAAAGTGCATACGATGCTCTTAGTGAAGTACTGGTGGCGATACATATTATCTGCCACGTCCCCAGCATGAGAACAGGTCTCGGGGCAAGTGGCATCTCCGCGACGCCCAAGGCCCTGTCAAAGTCAAGCGGAGCAGCATCACTCCCCATCTCATGGGCGCTGGATGTCTTCCTCGCAATTGAAAAACTCATTCACTCTACTTCGCCCTACGCTGCCAAGACCTAACATCGATGAGCAAAATCATCGACGGGGGGCTATATGCACTAGACTTGTTCCCATCTGTGGAGTCCAGCGGGTTTTCAAATGAACCCACAGTGCGAAGCTTTCATTTTGCGGTCCACTATCCTGCAGGATGGACTGTTGGGGAAGTGATTTAAAAGAACGCTTGACACACAGGATATACCATAATTACCTTGGTCAGCGACCCAGACTTAGGACTCATCACTGCTTCCTCCATGGTCCATGACCCTTCCCAAATTATATAGTAGACCATAGTAGACCATTTTTGCCTTTAAAAGCCCTATCGTCGGCCAATTGTTCCTAGAAATTTCTGCCCGTCGAATATTGCCTGATTCTTTGTGTGTCTTTGTTGGCTTTACAAGGACCCGCAGCCAAATCCTGGATCTGGGGCTTTTGGGGGCTCCTCGTCGACCTTTTGCTTTTAACCGGATGCCTGTAGACCATTTTGCCTTTCAACATATAGACAATTTTCGTGCCTCTGGGACAAGAAATCCCGTAGATCATGTTGCCTTTATCAGGGCCTTCCCGTGGGCCAATGTGCTTTTAGGAAGGTCTTCTCTGGACTAATTTGACTTTACAACGGTTTTCTGGAAGCTCGTGCCTCCCGGGCAAGCCATCCGATAGATCATTTGCATCTAAAGCGGCCTTCTGTAAAGCCCTTGCCTGCCAGGTTTGTCTATGCTTCCTTCGCGCTAGGCTTGGCTGGGGCACGCACAGCTGGCTGAGCTTTTGAGGCTTTCGCATGCCTCATGGGCAAGCTGTGTATCTGTCTGTTTTAGTGTTTTAGTATAGCGACCCGCTGCGCGGCTTTCTACTGCTGGCAGGCGATGGAGTTCAACCTCTCTTTCCTCTTGCAAAGCAAGTTTATTCATGTTTATTCAAGGTCCTCCTCGGGTTGTCGTTTGTTTTTGTCTTCGGCCTTAAGTTTTTCAAAGCTCGAGGGTCTGGGTGGGGCCAGACACTTTTGCTTTAGGTTTTGTTGAAATCAACTTCAACGCAGGCGTCGTTTTAAAGACTTTAACCACCTCACTGTGGTCATCAAACTTACTTTTCATTTTCTTGGACTCCTGACAGCCCTGTTGGCCTTGTCTCTGAAAAGTCCTCTGGGTTTGCTCATACTTTCCGTGCCACTTGCTGGATGCATCTTACTGCGCCGCCACCGACCTTTTCGTGCGCATTGCAAACATGACAACTTCTTGCGGATGCGGCTTACTGTGCACCCATCCCAAGAAACTTCGACGGAGGCAATATTTTCCGCTCCTGAAAACAGGATGGCTTCAACACAGCGACTGTATGTAGGAGCATTAGCCCTGAAAGACAAGGATCCAAATTTAAGCTTCATTCTAATTAGCCTTCCCTAAGGATCCATCGGCTCAGAAGGTATACTTGGACCCGCAAAAGTCACACACACCAACGTTTCCAAAGATCCCAAGTTCCACTATCTCAAAGGGGTGACCGGGTGAATCCCTGCATGATTGTTGCCGACAGCTCCCACCGATCTCGCCTTCTCTGCCCACAGGTTCAATGCCTCAGTTGGCTTCTTCACAGGAGTGTTCTGCAGGAACTGTGCAACCCCTGGACTTCTAACTGTAACTTGTACACACAACAACGATATAGGTGTGGAAAAGAAATAATGTGCATCGAATACAACACTTGCATGCACACATTTGTTGTAAGTAGTGTGTATGCACTTTTCTCCAGACCTGTCAATACACCTGGCAGAGGAAACCACCTTGTATGGGCTGCCATGCCATGTTAGTTTTCAAGAGGTTAAGTGTCAAGTGATTTACGAATTGGGGGACCCTTGTGAATCTCAAGATTCTGCGAAACTCAGAGATGAAAGGTAACGCAAACCCACGGAACCTTTTGGTGTTTCATCCGTCAACAGTTCCAACATGTCCGAACCTCTTGGTACGACTTGCCAGTTAAATATTCATGAGCATTGATCATCATGTCTGTGAGGAATCAAATACTTCTGCTTCCCAGCTTCCTGCCAAAAAGCACTGGAACTTGAGGGATGGAGTGGGTGAATACCATTGACATCGAAAATACACATATATATATACACACACATACTGTCAAACTCGCTAGTTTGCTTCGGACGGTCTCGCGGCACCTGCTTTTGACCAAACCCACGAAAGGGCGGGAGAGAGGCATTGACACCCGGAGAGAAAGGTGGGGTCGCCTTTAGGTAGAGGAACAGGGTTTTCTCAAGGCATCTTAGGGAAAGATTAACAACATACAGTAACATACAGTAACAGCGTATATATAGGACCAGGAATGATAGAAGCACGTGTTTTCACCCCTGGCCACCAGGGCGCGATAGAAGCCTTGGAGCTGTCGAGGAGGATCGCCTTGGAGCTGCGAGGAAGACTAGAAAAGCTGCATGCGAAAAGTCCATGGAGCCATATGGAGCCTGGTACGGAGCCTTTTTGGGATCTGGACCATTCCAGGGAGACTAGAGTGCTGGACCTGACTGTTAGCTGAAGAACAATGGGAGGCTACACGGTTGTCGTCCGAGAAGTGACCATTGCTGTTGCTCCTTGTTTCATTCTGTGGGATTTCGGCTGCACACAGCACAGCTAGAAGCTTCAGTCAGCCCAAAGTCTAATCCCTCAAGGTCCAGATTCCTGAAGGTCAAAAATGCCCAGAATCCTGGATCTGCACATGTCGGTTTGTGCATTGAGAGTACTGTCCCGCGAGTCAAAGCGATGATCTGCAAAAGGGTCGGCCATTAATAAAATAAAACCAGGAAAAGAACTGGACTTGCCCCAAGATCAGACCAACCACAAAGCCCTGCTCGCTGCTGCTTGACCACCTGCCGCTTCATTCGAGGGCCATTCTTGGTGACGACGCTGACCTGGTTTCGGATCACTTTGTGTCACATAAACATTGAGATCAGCTCGGGGCGTTTTTTTCACCGGTGGCAAGGCAGATCCATGTGAGCCCCATGTGAGCTCGTACAAGTATTTGTGCCATCTATTCTTAACCACCACTGACTTCCTCAGAGTGGACATCGTTACTGGTTGCCGCTTGAGAAACATGCTCAATCACAATTGGTAGTGTACAACAGACTTCTGTTCAAGAGTCTCACCTCCTTGTATAAACAGTATACAGTACAGTATTAAAATAGTTATAATTGTTACATAATAAACCGGAAGAGACAAATGAAAAAGGACTCTAGGATTTGCGTTCACAGATGATGTCAAAATAGAGCAATGGCTGAGCCGCTTTGAGCCCTATGTGGTCCTATGTGGACATTGGCTCAAAGCCAGGACACAACCAAATTCCCCTTGCAATCCCACAAACACCAGCATCTGCCCCGTGAAAGGGCGTTAGCTGACCCTGGCCAAAGCCAGACTTGTGCTACCACCAGTCTTCCTTATCTCAAGGAAGCTTCCTAGTAAAAGGACTCTAATTATATTTATATTTAGTTTCACATCTTTACTAGGTTCAAGGTGGAGAATTCAAGCTTCTGCAGAGAAATTGACAGCAAAAGGTTGATTTTGGACCTGCTTGCTTTCCCGACTCGACCCAATTGACCTCTTCCCATCCAAGTTGACCATGTCTCCGCACAGGATCCTCCAGGGAATGAACCACGCCAAGGACATCACAGCTGGTGCCCAGCACTGCCAAACCTGGGTCTTTGTAATTGCGTCACCGTCGAGATATAGCGGGGTCAAAGCTGGCATCCAAAGGGAAAAGGAGATATGGAACGCATGGTGATGGTCATGGGGATTCTCGCATGCCAATGCTGCTCACGCGTGCGAATGCTGCTCAAGAAATTAAGGATGCAAGATCATGCAAGTCCATATAATTCCATATACAACAGGCTTTTGGACAGGTTGTCGATGTCAACCTGCTATCTTCGACTTGATGTTGCAAGTCAAGCACACTGCATACCATCTCCAAGGAAGCTGCATGTAGAACTAAATATCACTGGATAATTACTTGCACATGATGATCCAACTGCTCCTTCAGGGGTCCCTGCTCAGCTCTGCGATGGGCACGAACTTGTAGGGAATTGGCGGAATGGTTCCATCCTGCTCCACGATCTGACAATCTGATCAGAGGACAGGACAGCTTTCGGGCAGAAAACTCGACCGGACCCTGTGTTTCTATACCCCAGGAATCAGGAAGCAACGCAAGTGTTGTAGAAACCAATTATGACAGCTAGGACTCGGACCTGCTAGGAGAATCCGATATCTATGACATGATACAGTGAGAGCTCGACATGCAGGATCATGCACCACACACACACACACACATCCCCACCTCGGAGTTGCAAACCCACATCTGCAAACAAAACATCGTTAAAGGATCCGCCATAAGAGACCGCTAATCCCTTGCAAATTGTTGCAGGTCTGAAGGTCATCTACAGAATATCCATGCAAGAAGGTGAACAACGGTGATCTTTCTTGAGTCGTTTCTCACAACTGATTCCCAGCACCTGGCACTGCACTGGCCAGTTGCATCCCCTTTTTGGGCTGGATTCCAGCTAGTGCCGGTGCTTTGTTTGCCGGTGCTCGTAGTTTATCCTCGTTTCTCACTCTGATTCACTCTGTATATATGTCTGGATGTTTCACCAGGTGCATGAGACAATGGTGATCTCTTCAAACACCAAAGATGACATGAAGCACCAATAGCAAGGTTCGGACACACGCCACTTTTGGTGTTGAAGTTGATGGGTTCGTTGGTCTTCGCTCGGTGCCACACTCCTCCGGCAAGGCCGTCAAAAAGGCACCACGCTCGTCCAAGGTCAGCTCCATGGGATATCGGCAATACCTCACGTTGTGCAGGGAAGAAATGGGACAAAGGGCACATGATACATGTCATCACCCACACCTGACCTCATTTCACAGCATTGCAGCAGGCACCAAACGAGGCAGCACTAGACCAAGGAAAATGATGCCTTGGGGCCCAGTCAATCTTGTACTAACCGAACATGTGTGGACACCCCCACTGGAAATTCTGCATGCTCGTTGGGCGTTGCTCATTCTACCTACCCCACCGTGCTCAGTGCTCTTTTTAGTGGTGAATTCTACTGCCAGGCCAGGGCAATCTGCAGTCTGCAGGAGGGTTCATGTGTATCTTATGGCAACCATGCCAGGAAGGTGCAGTTCGATCTACGGCCTGCAAGAGCTATGTGGACATTGTCAAACAATGAGCGCGAGTACGGCGATTTAAGTTATGCTGCTGTGTTCGTCTCACTGATGGCTCATGGAGAAACTATAGATGCCTCTTCCAGTGGTCAGTGGCCTGCTTTTAGGTTCGCAGTTACAGTTGGCTGCTGGCATCACCACAAATCAAATCAATGTACTGGATCGTGTGATCATCAGAATGACATCAGAATGACACACTCTGTGACATAGCATCACACAAACAACGCTTCTCTGTCAAAAAAACATATAACTTGAAATGACTGCAAGCCTCACATCATGCTGATGAGTACCGGTCAGGCAGCCGAATGGCTGCGGATTTTGTCCAACCAAAATTAAAGTGGGCCACTAGATGCATTTGTGATCATTTGTGATTTCTCGTCACTCTTCCCCGCCTGGGATTCGCTTGCTTCACTGACGCGCCAGTGATCTCATAGATCTTCTTCACTTGAATGGCAGGATAAAACCTGAGGGTTTTCGCACCAGTTGTTCCACACAAGCGGAAAGGACTTGTCCACATTCATGGATATTATAGACGGATAGAGATGGTTCATTGGTGGTCAAGTCGTATCAACTGTAGAAAGGGGCCGTACTGTCACAGCTCGCCAGAAGGATGACTCTGACATCAGGAGAGGAGATTCATCAGGCATCCATGTTGCCAGGTGTTGACCCTCAGAAGAAAAGAAACAACAGCCACGTGATTTTTGGATTGAAATACTCCCTACTTAGCCCCTAAGACAATAACTGACAAAAAACTCCTACTAAAAGCACTCCTTAAACCTCTTGTTTGAGCAGTTATTTGCACCAATCCATCTGGAACCTCCTCCTACAACCTGCGACCACATACTCAGCATGCGAGGCAAAAGCCGAGGGACTTGTCGACGGCCACACCAAAACAGGTGGCCCTGGTGCAGGCCTGTGTCGTGCGCTGAACAGGTGGGACGTGGTGGAACTAAAACAGGTTTTGGCACAAAGGACGACATGAGAGTCTCCGCCTGCCAAAAGAGTCCAAAGTCCAGAGTTGGAACAAAGCTCTCTGAACCAACGAAGCCAAAATCTTTAATAAAAAACTTCAGTTGCCATGGGATAGTTTTGGGATGTTTGCCATCAACCACATTCGGGTAGGACCCCCAAGTGATCTTCACGCAAACTCGGTCCAAGACTCGACGACGTGGGTCACGAACGACCCAGTAAGTTGCGGACCCCATCGGAGTCCATGAGATCCATTGAGAAGAGCTGGCTGCTTCCTGGAGCGCAAGAAGTCACGCTTTGCGTGACAAAAGAAAAGCACCAAACAGAACAGGCCAACGGAATCAACCAGAACATCTGTGGTTCTGGTTCATGTATTCGAGAATCGTCAAGTCCATTGTTTTTAGGTGGAATCCATTCTTGTATGTGGCAGTGGGTCTCGCAGTTTGGTTTTGTGGTCGACCCTGGCTCTCAAAGGGCATCGTTCATCATAGGTTGGCCAATGAGAAGTCAGAGTGAGTTTTGCCCCACCAATGTAAGCAGAAAGTCAGAATCGTTGCACCTCTTCCACTGGCAAGACTGTTGTTCTTTCGTTGTGGTTCTGCATTTCCACAAAAAAAAACACTCACAGAAATCCGCATGGTCCTTCATCCTGAACAGAAAACGTCTGAACGCGGACATCTTTAGACAGGAAGGTGTCGAATTGGAATCTTTTTCTCTGGTGGAGTCAAAGCACTGGTTGAAAATGACGGAGAGTCCTCTGGAGTTCGTAAAGGCTCGAATTCCTGACAGGCAAAGGATGCAGCCAACTATATACATATATATATAACTGTCTGAGCCTGAACCAGTTCAACGGAAGCAATTCAAGGGTCTTGAGTGGAAACCTGAGAAAAAACCTCAACAGAAAAAGCATGCAACGAACTAGGCATGTGCTCCCCACTGTTTTCTTTTCAGGATTTTTTCTTTCTCGTCTGTCTCTCTCTCTCTCTATATATATTATAGAGTTCATAAGGTTTTCCAGTTTGCAGGCTGTTTTTCCGGGTGAAACCAACAGAATCGTTGCCTGGGGCATGTTCATCCACTCTGGTCGGCGATCTGACATGTGTTCAACCCAACCAGACCTCAACAAGCTCGTCTGGCCCCCCAACCACAAGAAACAACTGTCACTGCTATTTCCCAAGTCTGCCTTGCAGCCAACGGATGCTTGTGTGTTGTATGGCCACAACTCAAAGACCAGGTATAATCCAAATTGACCAAGTCGTAGTGTGTTTCGCAGGTCAACAAGCCCTCAACCATCCCTCTGCATAAGGGTCAAGTCATCGGAGGTCAAACTCATCTAGTTCAATGTCACCTCCCATATATTATGTGATTGCCTATTGGTGAATCCCACCCCCCCGCAACCAATTGGCGTTGTTATTGGTATGTCACATGTGTGACAGAATAAGGAAAACCTAGTTGACCCACCAAGAAACAAACAACAAAAGAGACTGTCGGGGGACTGTTTCAGCACAACCCACAGATTCGACACTGCTTTAAGCGGGATGCTGGATCCCAACTATGACATACTATGACTAAAAACCTTCTCGCCTTAAAAAAGGCAACACAAATGCATTGTGGAATCGCCTCGCCAATAATTCTGTCATAAGACATGGATAACTGATTGGAAACTACCTTTTGAATCCTTTTGATACTTTTTGGCAGTTGCTCTTTCGGATTTGAGTGGGTGAAGACCTTTGAACATCAGTCTAACAGTAAGCCTCCCCTAGTTAATCCGGGCCGAAACAGCCAAGAAACTTCACCCGAATTGAACATAATATTGGTTGCTGCTTCCCACCTGAAAAAGGTTGTTGGGTGCTAGAAGCCCCCCAAGTTAATCCGAGCCCCACACCAGGTCGATGTTCTACTAGTACTACAAATAGAAACAATACTAATGTGTGCAACAAATACAACTAATACTATACTAACTACTGTACTGCTATATAACTACAAAGAAGAACTACTACTACTACTACTACTACTACTACTACTACTACTACTACTTCTAATGCTTTGAGTACGACTACAACTACCACTGCCGCCGCTGTGGCCACCACCAACATCACCAGGGCAATTACAATGGCAACAACGACGCCACCGACGACTACTACTGCTCCCATTCCTACTGCTGCCCCGACTCCCTTCTTGGCAGATTATTCAGGGCGAGTTGACCTAATGAATTGTACCTCAAAACCTTCTTGACCTTGTTGACCTTCCACGTGTGGGGGTTGTTAATCCGGGGTTCACATTACTCACATCCCTCACGTCCCCAACGGCCTGACTTGCTGAGCACTCGCGCTCGCACGCGGCAGCGAGGCATCGACCTGCATCTTTCAGCGCGTCCGATTTTGGTCGGGTGGGGGCTCCAGTCGTCCTCCCCCAAGCCCCAAGCGAGGAAGAAAGCATTCAACAAGCGTTTCGGACCATCCCTTTGAAGCCACCGCAAGCGCCTGTGTTTTAGAGCATGATCTTTCTGCTAGAGTCCAATTTTGTGCCAAATCCCGTGAGAAGGGAACAGGACCAATGAAATCTTGGGTCCCCGAAAGGGTCACCAACGCCTTCCAATGAGACCCTTGCACCTGTTCCTTGCAGTCTCAGCAAGAAAAAGCCCCGATTGGACGCCCGCACCGAAGGTGCTGAGGCATTGTGTAGGCTTCGCGCAAACCGAAGCGCTGTGAATAAGAAGAACCTCTCGCAGGTCCTCCCTGGACCGCCCTGCGTTCGCTCTGCACGTCATCGAAAGGACCGCCCTAGCCGCCCTAGGACTGCCCTCCTGCCCGCCCTGCCCCTGGACCGCCCTGCAAGCTCAGCTGTGCGATCGGGACCAATGGTAGACTTGACCTCGGCCAACCAGGTCGGTGCTCCGTGGGCAAACACATACAAAAACTGACGATCAAAAAGTCACGATCGGAACACCAAAATGCTGGAACATTGCAAAAATTGCAACACAATAATTTGAAACCGAATAATTTGAAACATTAACACAAACATCAACTAGTGTAGTTGAGCCATCCTGTCTGCAAATCGGCGAGACTTTCTTTCTTCAGCCTCTAGTTGTTAACTGGCTTCAAGCTGGGTTTCCAGGAGACCAGGCTTTGTCTCAAAAGTGAATCCTGCGCCACTTTGATAACAAACAAAGAAACACGAAACATGTCATATCTATTATGACACTCGAACACATTCTTACACCAATTGGTTTGACGGGCTATACAAGGCCCAAAACAAATCTTCACGAACCTTGACGGGGGATACCCCATTGGCAGAACATGTCGTTTGGACTCTCAGTCCTCCCATTTCTCGGCTTCCGTGCACCCCGCTTGGGCCGTGGGCCGCGTGGGCCGTGTGGGCCGTGGGCCGCCCCGGACCGGGGCTCGTCTCCACCTCACAGCGGAGGTCGGGCTTCAAAGGTCAGGAGGGTTCTCCAATCGGAAGGTCCAAATGTTTAGCTTTTTGAGGGACTTAAAAAACACACATAATCACGTTTGAGCAGTTGTCGTCAGTGACCGTTTAACAGCATCTGCATGGTGAGATATGACTCGGATGTATTCATAGGTAGGTGGACTGTTTGTTGAAATCAACTTAATCCTTGATAAGTAGTTCATCCTGATCAAACCAGTACCAACCCCAATCCACTTTCTAATGGAACCATTTCAGTTGCTTCTACTGTCTCCCCAATGTGGCAGCTGGAGCACAGCCGTCTGACCTCTACCAGCTTCCCAAACCGCCGACGGCCGACGAACCGGCGGCCCGTGGCGCCCGAACCGGATCTGACAGCGGCATGTCTGGACTCATGCGGCGGCGCATGGGAGTGGCCACCTGAAGCTCTTCGGCACCACAGAGGGGGGGCGATGGTCCACGGTCTTCGATATCAGTTGGAGTGAACAGGTGAACGTATATAGATTGACATGTCTTGGTGAACTCAATGACCAGTTGCCTGACTGAAGACTTCTCCCACTTGGAGTTTTGTTTGCATCATAATGATTGAGGACTGTCGGTGTGCATGGGAACATCTCGAGGCGGTGGATTCAATATGATCACATTGTTCAAGCCGGTTATGGTCAGGTCATCCATGTAGGCCGGGCCAAGAAGCCGCCAAAGACACACAAGTATATGGATGGATGTCTTGGGGTAGAACACCAAACAGTGTGGAACTGGTAAGGGGTTAATCTCCTGATTTCTTCCCACTTCTTCTAAAGCGCCACTGGTAGTCAACATCATTTATATAATCTATATACTAATATACAGTATCTGTGATATCTGTATACAAAAACTCCTGTGATGTGTTAGGCCACAAGCAGGTGATGGATCGATGCTGTTGGTCGCCTTTCTTTCCTGTTCGACCTATTCCCGCGGCTCCGGCCGGACGGGGTGGCGCCATGGCAGCCTGGGTGGCCAGGTCCCCGTGGCAAGAGTGACACAGAGCCTGGTGATGTTTGGGGGATGCGATGGCCATGATCTTTCCACAGTCAAATGCATAAGCAAGCATCTCCTGGTAAGCTGGACCCGGGATGAAATTGGATAAACACGTGTCCTGAGGTAAAGTAGCTCGCTAAGGCCGCTATGGACTTGCTTTTGCAACGCTTGTAACGCTTAGTTCATCTTAGTTCATCTGTGCCAGTAGGGTCTGGGAACGTTGAGGCCCTACAACCACATTATTCATATTTCTCTACCAGAACCTGGACCTGGACCACTTGCGAAGTACCTGTCCAGAGCTGGGAACCCGGTACCTAAGCACCGGATGGAACATCCGCCTCATATGAAGTGAAGACTCATGATGCTTGTATAAAGCCTTTAAGCGTACTGAAATTAACAACCATGTTGGGAGATCTTGTTCTCTTCTCAATCCTGGCCTAGCAAGGGTACTTTCATGAAGGTCAGTGTTTCAGTCGCATAAACTTTCCCAAAGCTGGGGCCCCCGGGCTGACGTGACACAAGGCAGGTTGGCACCAGCCTGCACCAGCAGCACAGTACCAGGTGGTATAGATGTTCTTTCTCCAAGAGCCAGGAGCACTGAAGAATTTGACTTAGAGTGGGGCTTTATCCTACTCCGGATAGCCTGTGAGTTTCCGAGTTTTTCATCATTTTTCATCATGTGATACAGCTTCCAGAACAGAAGCTTCAATGGCTGCGTCAAGCCCTGCGCCCCACATGAACGGACCATGAACAAACCAAGCTCTTTACATGGTGGACCTCGGTACTAAGCATTGATGTGGTCCGTACATGTATGTCCATCACATCATATCACATCGGACTGGAAGCATTTGAGAATACTTCTTCTTGGGATGATTTACCTGGATCTCTATGTCGAACGAAAAATTTGGGCACCCTACTGTGGAGAAAAGGATAACTCTGTCAGGGGTTGATTCAGAAAGTCTCAAGTTGTCTGTCTACCTTTTTTTGGAGCAACATGCAAGAAGCCATGCTCACAGCAGCTCGCAGCCGCATGCAAGGGCCTGTTCCACCTTCTCCACGCGATCAGGGGTGCCTGGCGTGTTCTGCGAAGCACACGTGCAATCCACCGTGGTGACCAGGGTCAGTCTCTCAAGGCATGTGCCATAGTGCTTGGTGTATGCGATTGTTTCGCGGGACTGTCCCAAAATCATCTATGACATGCTTGATCCGTTGGTACCATAAAAGTTGCCTAAAAGAAATGAGCCTGTGCAAATTCTATGACAGAAGAAGGTAATTGCTCCTTGTCTTGGACTAGTAGCAGAATTATTCTTTCTATTGACGATTCGGCTGGTTGTTGTGTCTTCTTTTTGCCGGCCTCTATCCACATCAAACTTTCCTGGACAGCTGGCACACCGCAAAATCACTTCGGAACCAACTCCACTCATATGGTCTGTCAAAACCATGGTAGGACATTCTACATGCATCATCATTGGCCCGCAAGAACATCACAAAACGTCCATCCTCATTCCGCATTTGCAAGAAACCTAAAAATCCACATATCTCTTCCTCGAACATGTTGTTTTTGTAGATTAGCAGGGTCACCAGCTTCACAGGACCGTTACTGGGCCCTCACCAGCCCCCACCCCAAAGTGATCCGCGCCTAAGCTGATGGTGTGGATGCCCTGATCGGGCCCAACTTTTCCGCAACAAACGGATGAATAGAAACCGTCCTCTGAAAGCCCGCAGGTCATCTGATTTGAATGGGAAATGTATGGAAATGTGGACCCGCTCCCGAACCAACTCACTATGACTCACACTCACCGATCACAGCACCAAACCTCACCGACACCAAACACATATATCATATATCCAAGAAACGCCATTCATTAATAGCTTCCCACACCTGGTGGAATGGTGCTACCCATCCTGGGTCCCAACACCATTCATTCCGTCCTGTCGAACGTGTTGGAAGAAAAAACAAAGTTCCAAAGTTGACAATATGTTGACAATATGATTGCTAATCTGGATATCTGCATATGGTTGCTGTAGACTTAGATGTTTGTCAGTCCTTTTCCTCCAACACAAGTCCGACCGACCTCTTCCCCATATCTTGCGACCCAATGCAGCAAGCAGAGTTCACGGATCGAACATCTGCGACGTGTTGAAGTCCCAGGTGCTACTGGCGGGCCCACCACGTCAAAGACTTGTGCAGAGCTTTGATCCCAATCATTCAACTGGGCGAAGCAGCAGCTGCAGTGGCAGGGAGAGAGTCACTACTGCCGGTGGGTGGGTAGGTTGGTTCTTGGTTTACGTTGTATCTTTGCTTAGGTTGCAGTATTCGGTTTAGGTTGAAGTCTGAAGTCACTTGGAGTACGTGCAGAAGACAGACGGCCACCCATTATTTCTACATGTGTCTCTCTCACATCCACGCCTAACCAAGCACGACTGCAGAGCAGGCCCAACAGTATGTGACATCAATCTCCCCAAAGCGGAGCTGTTCTTTTTCACCCGTTCACGGTCGTTCACACCGACTCTGTGCTTCGAATCATGGGGACAATGCGGATAGCAACACGGCTACATTCTGACATTCTTGGATGTTCCTCCCAAGATCTGACAAGATCCGGTCTGTGTCCAGAATTGTACACTGTACATCCCACACAAACTACGTAACCCAGCCCACCTAGTAGGGGGGGCCTTGAACGAACGGACTTCCCCTAAGCTTGCTGATTGCAGCATGTGACAAAGCAGGAAAAGCTAGTTCGTCCATCATGCCGCTGCCATACCCAACGAAATCGGGTGAACACTCTGAGACACCAACGAAGATCGCGGGCAAACCTTGCAGGGTCGGTAGGAGCTTTGCAAGATATAACACTTGGTCTGAAAATCACGAACAGCAAATTAAGGGGTTGCCAGGTGTGTCAGAATACTGTAACGGAACAAAAATACATGAGTTCATACGTCGGCATTTCAGGGGTTCCCGAACTTTTCAAACACACTCTATTTGACGGGAGACACTCCTCCTCCTCTCCTCGGTCTGCTTGATGCTTGGGAGTGTCTACTCAACACTCTTTTAGGCTTGACGTCTCGTTGGCCAAAGCATTGGGTCAGCTGTTGCTTCGCTTTGGAAAGCGATGCCAGGACTTGCTTTGACATGAGTGCCTTAAAGAGTGGCAGGTATATATATATACTAAAAATATATATATATATATTCGGTGGAGAGTGTCACCATGTGAGTGTGGGATAATTTGCCTTCTCCTCTTCGGGGCATTCGTTTGATGTCACGTTCAGCATCAAATTCAGAATTAAATTCAACGAAGAGCGATCCCTCGAACGTCCCCTACTCATCCAGTTTCCTCGCATTCATAGGACACCAAATGGTTTTGTTGTTCTTTTGGAGCCAAGAAGTAGCTACTCTTGAGATTTCTTGAGGAAACTGGACCGCACCAATGCAGCGGTAAGCCCGCCTTCATAGGCCCCACGCTTCCATTCCAACAGCTGGATGATGCTCCCTTCAGCTGGATCCTGAGGACGTCATCTGCTATGACAGCTGAACAGAGCAAATATGTCCATCCATACCGACTGGGACGTTTTTGGCCTCCGATCGGTCGGTCTTTGGGAAGCGTAGCTGAAGATACCGAGGACGAAAAAAGGTGTCGCCGGTGTTCCCCCTTGTTCCATTCGATGGTCGATTCTACCACTTGACCGAAAGAAAACGCGGGCTGCTCTGGCCATCTTGGTCTTGTTTATTCTTGTTTTCCACGCAACTCAGCTTCCCTGTGTGCCCTCCAATCGTGAATGTCACACCAGTTTGGGCGTGCAGTTCTGCCGGGGAGAGTTGCAACCTCCAGGCCCTTCCTCCGCCTGGATGTCACGTCCACCCGGTCCTGGATGTCTGGCGACAGGATAGCCAACATGAAGTGTTGGCCTTCCAAAGCAAGCATGTGACGCCGCAGGCGCAGCGGTTGGACAGCTGCACACAGGTTTTCTGAGTCTTGTTCGGGTTCGTATATAATGTTTCTTCCACCATCTTCCACCAACAGTAGAGAGCTCGTGGAAAAGAAGCAGCCACAAAGCATGTGAAGTTTCGGTCTATATCAAACCTAAGGACAATTAAGGACTTGGCACAATAGCCCAAAGGACATGAACATCACAAGTACCGATGTGGCTGAGTAGGTGGAGCTCTCCCTAGAAAAAGCGGGAGCTGCAATTTTTTTTTGAGGGAGAGAGTTTCTGAACCAACCTCCGTGGTTTCATGGATGATTCATTGACCCATGGATGTCAAAATCTCTTCATCCGATCGGCTCTCCCTGGCGCCCCAACCATCTGAAATGCTCAGGGTTGTTCGACGGTCCGCAAACTCGTCCTCGCGAGATGGGCTCCACAAGAGACGAGCCCTGCTTTTGGCAAGAAAGAGATCAGTTTAATTCAGTGGAAAATGGGTCTGATATATTGAGCCATAGTGATTGGTGCTTCCTTCAAGGTGAAGTTACTTTGGATGCATGGGGGTTTGATGAAGGCTTTCCGCAAACTCAAACAGTCCGTGTCACTGTAAAGAAACAGCCTCGGCTTTAGTAAAAGCGAGGTCTGTGGAAACTGGATTATGATATGAGTATCTGGATGTATCTGGGAGCCTTCAAAGACCCCTGGCAGGAACAGCAAATGAACATGAACATCCATTGGCTTGATCTCTGTGGATTTTGGACATGACTCACTCTCATCTCAAAGGTCTGAGTCTGTGCATGACGTTTAGGTGGCTTCTGGGAATGAGGTTGGAGGAGCAGTCCCAGCCCTGTCCTGAGCATTGTCTCTGCCAACTCTCTTGGCCACCACCTGCCCGGCATGCTGCGAGCAGCAAGCAGTCTGCCATGGGCCACCAGGCAATAGTTCAATAATTAGTTACTCAGCTTGTTTAAAAAGGATAACTCAATCTCCAAACACACGCCTGCGCAAACGCCATGCACAAAACCTTTAAAAAACCCTTTGAACAGATGGATCTTTTCACCTGCCCTGTGCAGGGCCCTGATTTCTTTAAATCTCTCAAAACAGCTAAACACCCATCAGAACTGATTCCACCATGTTCAAACCAACACTTTCCATTTTCAACCACGCAGGGCTTTCCACACAGTTTCGGGCCGAAGGAAGGTCTGTCGAGCTCTTAGCGGTTTTGTCACACTGGCCTCCTCAACAAGTCATGCTTATCTGATCACTTAGGAACTCGGCCCTGACCGTGGGATGGGACGTACATCAACCATACAACTTGCTCTGGACTCTTAGTTCATTATAATACGTACATATACGTACCACTTGTGAATTGAACCCAAACATGCCCAGAGTCTTTAGGAAAACCTTCCACCAGCCAAAGTGACTATTTTCACCATATGGAAGAACTAGTTTCCACCAGCCGCTAATGGTAAAACTCTTCAATCATGTCTTTCACTAGTCACTCGGGCTCACAGCGACCGCCTCCCGCCTGGACCAGGGGCGCCAGCGTCGCACACGGGACACCCTCGGCCAAGCGGCGGATGCCTCGGCCCAGATCCGGAAAGCACCAAAAAAGAAACCAGTTCATTGCCTGGGCGGTTGCTAATTCCTGGATCTATGCCAAGATGCACCCCGCAGTGAGCTTCACGGCCGCTTGCTGGCCTGTTCGGATTCTTGCCCCGAGTCGCCAGTACCCGACCTACTGTTTTTGTTGCTCCCCACCTGTCAGGTGAGATTGTATGTCAGCTGCCTCCCCTCCTCTCCTCTCCTCGTCCTCCTCAACCGCAAGTTGAGGCAGTCTTCCTCGCTGCTGCTACTGAGAGCATTTGAAGAGGCTTCAGCTGAAGAAGCCTGTGTTTCCTTCTGTTGATATTGAGCATGCTGGCTCCCCGCATGCGCACATCCACAAAGGGAAAGTCCTTGTTTGTCTTTGTCGGGCAAGACCATGCCGGAATGGTGCTGTGATTGGATGCCTTTTTTTTTGCAGAAATGTGCAGAAGATGCACGCATGCTAGAGCGTGTGGAGAGGTGCTGCTACACACTGGAAACAGTGTTTCAAGAATGTGCCCAACAAAGACCAAGTGTGCGATGATTTGGAGAACTACAAGAACTTGTTGTGCAATTTGGATCTAGTGGAAGAACTGCATCCGTGGCCACACCTGGCAGAGTCGATTCTGACTATGGACGATCTGATTGCTGTCTTTCATGAAACTTATATAACTGGTTTTGACTGGAGCGGTCCCACTGCCACAGGCTTTTGATCTATGATTCAGGTCACGAACTGGAATGTTTGTTTTGTTTTGGCATGTTTGCTTATACTGACACCATTTGATGTCTGCTTCAGGTGTCCAACTGACATGTTTCTTTCCTGTTTGACGGCATCTCCTGACAGGCGGCAGGCCGGCATGATTTGGCATTGCCCTTTCATGTCAGCTGCAGGTGTCTAACTGACCTGTTTCTTTCCTGTTTGACGGTATCTCCTGACAGGCGGCATGGCGGCATGATTTTGTTTGCTGAAAGCATTTGCTTTGTGGTTCAGGTTTCCAACTGATCTGTGTATTTTCTGCTTGCAAGCCGGTGACAGGTGCAATGACATGAAGCCGGTATTGTCTTGTCACATACCAACATGTTGCTCCGGAAAAATATGTGCGGCCTGATTATCTGCGTTACGTTCATGTTATAGTGGATTGAAATGTCATGGTGGGGATCGTTCGAAGTGAAGTAATTGTTGTTGTTTCTGTTTTTTGGTTTAATATATTTTCAATCTCTGAACTCCAGTTACAGTATTTCAACGGTAAAATCATGTTAAATCCCTCCTCCTTTCTTTGTTGGCTACTGCTTCGCTTGGCCAGTTGCTTCTGTGCAACCTGATGCAACTTTTTGCAAGCCAGCCAGCCTTTGCAAGAGTAGTTACTTTCGACACGTCAAATAGCTGTCTGTAAGCCCTTAACCATACTAGGATCTCCTCATTAGTCTTGCATTCCGCTTAGTTTCTTCACACCCTTTGGTCGGTTCCTTCTCGCACCAACTACCATCCACCATCCATTGGTCAGTGTCAATCAGTTACCCCTGAAAGATATTCGACTGTGGAGCAATCCCCACTCAGCATTTGGGGATCACTCAGTCCCTCAGTCAGTCCCTCCAAGCCCAAGAGCTCTTCAAACTGGCAATGGACTCCATTCAGTGAACAAACCCTACGCATCAAACAACATCCTCAGGTTGTTGACCCTCCAACGCACCAAACACCTTCTCAGTGAATCCTCTGAAAAATCCTTCTCCCTGACGCCTGCTGCACTCGCTGGCTTCAGCATCCTGATCACTCTAGACTCTAGCTGATGTGATTGAGCCAAGAGTGCTACACTTCACAGGAACATGGCAGCCTCATGTAAACAACAAGCGCGTGGAAAAACACACACAAACATACTGTTTTGTTCCCTCCCTGCTACATGCTATTTGGTAAGGCCACGCAGCCACCCGTATGCCACCGTCATCCCCATATCCTCTTTCACACTTCCAACCCGAACATTTGGCAGTAAGTGTATGGAAGTGTGACCTATGCACCAGCACCCTATCCCACTTCGCCATATTTGGGTGCTCTTGCTCTGATGCCTCACCCTATAATACCTATAAGGCCCCACCTCCATCAACAAAAGACGCTTGCCCATGCACTTCTGGAGAAACACGGCCAAGTCTTTCAGGCGCTGGTCCCAACCCCGGGCGGCCTTCACCAAGCGATCTGGGCCTGAGCAACCGGGGCACCGGTGTAAAAGAAAAATGTGCTTCGGAGATTGGGATTGGTTGCTCGGTGCAAATCAGAAACAAAGCAACCCAGTGAGGTTCCTTCTTTGTGTTCCTGGTGATAGTGATATGTATTTATGTATATATAGTATAGACATGTATAAACTTGCTAGCAACCTGCCGTATACATGTAGTTATCAAGTGCACGACAAGAACGATCCACCACATCGTCGCAGTTTGACCTTTCAACTGGTTGCCAATTGGAAGGAACAAACTACGACGATTGACAAATCAAAGTGACCTCCTCCTGATCTTTCTCCTCCCCTTGCACTCCTTGCTGTAAGCACATCCCAGGACACAAGTAGCTATGGCTGAAGAGAAATACCGTATTTGCACAAATGCTAAGATCATCGGCATACCTTTTCATGATATTGTTGTATAACTAATAAGTAACAATATCATAGCCTGGCTCTTTGAGATGAAACCATCCTATGAAGGCTTTTTTTTGTTCTTGAAAAAGCGCCCCTCGATCTTCAGCCGAGGAGCGTTCTTTGGGGAACTTCACCAAATTTCGGCCCACCCGGACCAGTGCCTCCAAGGTCCTCGGCACGAGACTCGAGTTGACAACGTTTCGCGACCAGCAGGGCGTTGTCTGGGCGTAGCGGCATAGCGGCAGAACCGGTAGCCAGTGTAGAGTTCAGTGGTTCAAGCTGTGAAACGCTTTTGGCCCTGCCAAATACATAGATGAACCTCTTTGAAACTGTGTTGAGGATGCAGCCAAAAGTTAAAAGGAGCTTGAAACCTGGTTTCGCCCGTACTGTAACGGATACACTTTGGACTTTAAGACATCCTGCACCACCCCAAATGTCTAATCAGTATCAAATAATTGTTGCCAGATTGTTGCACATCCTTTTTCAAATCTCCCCGACAAGACTATGGGCCTTCCTATCGCTGTGATAGCCCGCCCGAATGTCAAGACTATGCAACCCACTATATTACCAATGATGTATGCTGTATACTGATCTATACTGATATCTATATCAAACCGACAACCGCCAATGAAGTTTGATTTGCCATGATATCCCACAAGGTCATGGACCTCCCAAATGAACAACATGACCGAGGGTATGCTGACCTGTTGTCCTCCAGAACCCCAACGTGACTTTCCGAGCATCTTCTCATAGCTGAAGTGCTCGAAGGCGGCAAAGTCCTGAGAAATCAATGGCGCTTGAGCCGAATTGCCCGTGCAAAGGGCGAAAAACACAGGAACGGTGCAACGGTGGAGCCGATGGGGCCGTCTTGCAGGTTTGATGATTTTCGCCTTGCATGTTGATAAAGCAATGAACCGCGGACATGCGTGCCTTGATCCGATCAGAGTGAAGAACATTCAATATAAATACATGGTGTTGAGTTGGTCTGAATCTCTACATCCAAGAGGGGATTCCACATGGTTCCACCAATCTGAGCATACCAGGACTTCCAACCATGCAGAAGTTCTGCCTTGACATCCACAAAACGAACCGCATAAGTAAATCGTGGACAGGAAGACCCAGGTACCGAGTTAACTGAGTAGAAAGGCTAGTCCTTCTCCAGGAATGCTCCAGTGGCGTCACGGTCCAGAACACGGAACATCACCTGCCGGTCACGGTGGTGATGTAGTTTGATGCAAGCAAGCCACACCAACAAACACATGGCGGCGATGTACAGGTGGGATCCAATACGACGGCCAAATCGGGATTTGCAGACTTGAAATGAGGATGTGAAACGAGGACCGAGGATCACACTTGTTAAGTATATAAATCCTAAGTCTTCCTAATTCTTTACTACCGGCAGAACAAACATGTCAATGCACTGCATGAAATAGCAGCCAGCTGCCGCTGGAACCACAAACTCGCTATCTCTCTCTCTCTCTTTTGATCCATCTGTATTTTCAACCAATGAACCATAATGAACCGAATGAACCATCTAATTACACCATTTATATACACCGACTCGTCGTGTTTGTTTCAACTCGTCTGAGGCCCTGAGTCCAACCCGATCGTTGAAGGCCCGATGGCCTCTAAGATTCCATTGTGGAAGCTCTCGGGCCAGTCCAAATCCTTCATGCCCGACTCAAAGTCCTGAAAAGCGCGCAAAAGGGCGATTTTTTGAGCGTTTGCAAAGGAGGAGGTGGGCATCTGCTGCAGCTCCATCATTTTTGAAGACTCATGAGTTCCACATAGTTCCACAGGCCCGTTTGAGTGAGTATGGCGATACGTAAAGAATGGTCACGGAATGTGCATGTCACTTGACAGGCGTTGAAAGCTGTTTAGATTTGGCAACCCTTTGCGCCGACCTCAAAGTGGAAAAGGACTCAAATCGGCCGCTGGAATGGTCTTTAAAGAGATACAACCCTTGAAGGCATCCTTCCCAATGTGGGTCACACACTCCGGAATGGTCAAGTTGGCCAAAGATCTACAAGTCTGAAAGGCGCGCGCCATTCCCAATGTGGGTCAATGAGTTCGGAATGGTCACGATTGCCAAAGAGGAGCAATTCCGAAACGCAGAAACTCCAATGATCAATGTCGGTCACCGAGTTCAGAATAGTCAAGTTCACCAAAGAGCTGCAATCTGCAAAGGCACCAGGCTCTATGTAAGTGACTGAGTCTGGGATAGTCAAATTCGCTAGAGTTGCAGTTCTGGAAAGCAAAGTTCCCAATCTGAGCAACTGAGCCCGGGATCGTTAAGTTCTCCAAGGAGCTGCAACTCTGAAAAGCCAAATCCCCAATGTGGATAACTGAATTAGGGATAGTCAAGTTCACCAAAGAGCCGCATGCCCTGAAGGCACTATTTCCAATGTGGGTCACTGAGTCCGGAATGGTCAAGTTTGCCAAAGCTCTGCAATTGTTAAAGCATGCTCTCCAATGTAGGTCACTGAGTTGGGGATGGTCAAGTTCACCAAGGATGTGCAACGCACAAAGAGACCATCCCCAATGTGAATAACTGAGTTCGGTATGCTCAAGTTCGCCAGTAAGCAGCAATCCCTAAACGCGGCGTTTCCAATGTGCGTCACCGAGTTTGGGATGGACAAGTTCACCAATGCGTCGCATCCCTCAAAGGCATGATCCTCTATATGAGTCACTGAGTCTGGGATGATCAATTTGGCCAACTTGTTGCAATACTGGAAAGCGCACGCCTCAATTCGAGCAACATTGTCTGGGATTTCAACCGCGAGCAACAGTTCCAAGTCAATGTCACTCCCCAAGTTGGCAATCTCAGCTTTGTTTGAGCATCTTGCTCTGTTGTTGTTTGAACACAACATTCACAACAGCATCTGCAGTGAGCCCTGCGTCCGCAACTGTCTCATCACTACCCAGCAACCTTTCTCCAACAATAACAAGCTTCACCTCGGTAGTTCTGCGAGTATCATCATCCCACAGCTGTCCTTCTTTGATTTGCTGCTCTATCTCTCGACCCGTTGTCTCTCGCATGACTTCAAGACAAGTCATTTCGCCATTGACGTGGAGTGCTGACAGTCTCATTTTGCAATTTCCGTGCTATGGTGCTGCTGGGGGGGATAGCCATGCATACTGCATGTACAATATACGGATTAAACAGAAGCTTGCCTGTAGCTGGTCTGAGATTTCATCTGCATTGTGCTCAAAATGACCTTGTCGAATTGATCTAACTCAGTGCTGAACTTCTGAACCACATTTTGCAAACCTCTGTAACTGTACGTTACCTCGCATTAATGGCGTACTTCTAAAAGGACGAAAAGTAAACATTGGCCATTGGCAAAAGGGCACTCCATATGTTCACATATTTTCCTATCACTGATGTCCATTGGACCTGGCATGCCGTTTGGACCATGCCCCAGTGGATGATCTGAATGATTCTCCGCTGCGAAGTCCAACGTAGGCAGAAAAGTCAAAAGTCCAACTGTACCCGTCAACCCCGTCAACTCTTTGCTCAAATCCCAGAAAATGACGACTGACTGGCAAACCTGCACAACCAACACCAGTGACCGACTGGCTGAGTGAGTGCTGAATCACTTGATCGGTCCGGTGCGGCCACAACTCTTACCCTCAAAGAATCAAATACAAGGACAACTAGGGACAAACATTTGTTGTTTGATGTTGTTTGACAAATAAATGGGCAAGGCAAAGGACTGCAGCTGTGTGCAAAGTTTCCTCTACAAGCCACACACATAAACGACAAAAAGAGTTCAGGATACACTAAGATCGAGAACAGAGTGTTGATATACCTATAGTATGTAGATAATATGGAAAACAATCCATTCTCGTTTTGATGCCTCTGTACTCAAGGTCCAGCCACAGACCACGAATAGTTGCTTAGACAAATCATCGCGTTCAGCCCCCGGCTGACAGGACCACCCGCAATGGAACCTTCCCTTGTGGACCTTGAGCAGCTAAGTTCATTTGAGGGGTATTTGGGGGCTATGAGCAGCAGACAAAAACACAAATCTGAGAATCTGGAAACCCTGTCACAGCTCTTCAATTCAGATATGCTATGGAAAAAAAAAAACCAAATCAAGAAGGAACCTAAACGCCAACGCCCACTCCTCGAAGGCAAT